TTAATTTTTGTATATGTTGAAAGGTAGGGATCTAGTTTCATTTGTCTGCATATGGCTAGCCAACTTTCCCAGTCTGTTTATTGAATAGGGAGTCCTTTCTCTGTTGCTTATTTTTGTTAACCTTGTCAAAGATTAGATCGCTGTAGGTGTGTGACTTTATTTTTGGGTTCTCTATTCTGTTGCATTGGTCTATGTGTTTGGCTTTGTTCTGGTATCCTGCTGTTTTAGTTACTGTTGCCTTACAGCATAGTTTGAAATTGGGTAATGTGATGCCTTCAGCTTTGTTCTTTTTGCTTAGGATTGCTTTGGCTATTTGGGCTTCTGTTGTTGTTGTTGTCATTCTATATAAATTTTATAATAGTTTTTTCTAGTTCTCTGAAAAATGATATTGGTTATTTGATATTTGATAGTAATAGCATTGAATCTGTAGATTGCTTTGAGCTGTATGTCCATTTTAATGATATTGAGTCTTCTAATCTCAAGAGCATGGAATATTTTCCCATTTGTTTGTGTCATCTGTGATTTCTTTTAGCAGTGGTCTGTAGTTCTACTTCTAGAGATCTTTCACCACCTTGGTTAGATGTATTCCTCAGTATGTATTGTATGTGGCTATTTTAAAAACAGGAACAAAATTAAACATTATCATTAAATAGATGATTTGACTTTGGTGCCCTGGCTTGGGCACTGTTGGCCTGTCTCTTTTGAGGTGCAGTATCACATGTGATCAAAGTGAAAAGCGTCAATTCCATGGTGGTGCTGGTTGGCTGACAGTCCCAATGCACTTCTTTGCTCTCAGTGCACTGTTAGAATTGCAATTTGTGTCTGTTGGATTAACAGAGATATGGATTATATTACCTGTTTTTAAATAAAATAATGCTTACGAAATGAACAAGTGGCCAAAAGAAGCCTGTACAGAAACCTCAGACTGAAAATAATATTAATGATATAAACACAAGGTAACAAAAAGAAAGCAACATAGTTAATACTACTAGTCTGTAGCAGTTTGAGATAAAATACAGTGACATCATCATATGTGGTAAGAAGTAAGTCAAAAATGGAAATTATTAAGGAGACATCTGAAATACATATATATTTGCCTATATATTTGTTAAAGATGACTCTGGCCCTAAATATGTATCCCATCTTAAAATCTTGCCTAGTGAAAATATAAAGCCATAAATATTAATTTAGCATTAAAATATCTATTTCATCTTTATCTTCAAATTTTTATGTCTGTAATAACATATATTAATACAGTAGAACATAGTATGTTTTAGTTAAAAATACACATACTACAGTTGCATGTTGCATGCTAAAATATTTTCTTAATGAGAGAGAAGCACTGGTCTAAGTAAGCAGTTAGTGTCTCTGACTCAGGTGGTAGCAGTGGAGATGGAGACCACTGGGTGTCTTCATGTCTTTGAGTAAAATGTGCAAAGAAGAACCGGTGGAACTTTGTGATTAATTAGATAAAATGGGAAGAGTGAGACATTGGCTTAAGGTTAACTGCCACATTTGCAGTCAAACCAGGTGGAGGGTGGGACCATTTTTTGAGACTTAGGTTTGAGAGGCAAGAACTCTGAGTTGAGTTTTAGACATAGTAAGTTTGTAGTACCAGTGAATTATCCAAGTGGTCAGTTAAATACTCCACTGTCGATATCAGAGGGGGGACTGGATCAGAAATGTTACTTGCTACTAGTGATCTCCATATATGTGGTAACAAAAGGCATGGATATGATTAAGATCACCAGGGGAGAAAACACATAGTGAATGGAGAAGGCCAAGGGTTGGGCACTGAAATGCAGACGTAGGATGGAGGAAAAGCCTATACCAGAAAACAAAGGGGAATAAAAGGCCAGAGAATTAGAAGGAAAACAAGGAGAGTAGGTCATCATGGAAACTAAAGGAATGACAAGGGAAAGTGATCAGGCATGTCCAACGATGCCAAGAATTCATGTTAAATGAGGGCTCAGAAGTGCCAGGAGTAAGCAATGCGCAGATTATCCATAACATTTTAGAGAGCTGTTTGGAGAGTTCAGAAGTCCCAGACAGAAGTCTGATGTGAATGGTCTTGCTGCTAAGTGAACATGGACCCATCACCCAACTAACTGTATTTTTTCATTCCAAAATATTTGCTTTCTGATTATGAAAATGTGCTTTTTAATTAGAGAAGGATGAAATACAGAGACAAATGAAGACAAATAAAATGATCCCCCATTTCCCAACCAGTGTCAACTAAATTAATCTATTGATATTTCCTTCATATACTTATTAATACAGATACAGTTACTTTTATTTCAATATTGTAGACTAAGTCGGATTAATCTTATTATTCTGCTTTCTTTTCTTTACATTTCTTCTTGCCTTTAAGTATTTTTGAAATTTCAATTTTGGCTGGATGTGGTGTCTCATGTCTGTTTTCCCAGCACTTTCGGAGGCCGAGGTAGGAGGATCGCTTGAGCCCAGGAATTTGAGATCAGTCTGAGTAACATGGTAAAATCTCATAGCTTAAAAGTTTTTTAAAAATTAGCTGGTCATGATGGCATCCACCTGTAGTTCCAGCTATTCCAGAGGCTAAGATATAAGACCAGGGAGATTGGGACTGCAGTGACCCTAGATTGTGCCACTGCACTCCAGCCTGGGCAACAGAGAGAGATCTTGACTCAAAAAACAAAGATTAGTATTTTTAGCAGCTGAAAAATATTTCTGCATCTGATGATATCAAAATGAATATGCTCATTAACTTTAGCCAAGTAAGTCCTTTATAATTTTCACATATATATATTATACTATATGAGCATCATATATATAAATCTTTGACTAGGAGACATTCATAAAAGTGATACTCCTGGTTCTTCAAAGGCTTGCTCTCTCTCTCTGTCTATCCAAGATTCTTTGAGGATGTACTGCTTAGTACCCATTATACTCTTTCAACATCATTTTGTGCACTTTCACACAAACTCTAATCTGTCTTTTAAAATTGTTTGTGTATTATATTTGTAAATGTATTTCTTAAGTACAGTATGTGTTTGCATTTTGCTTTTTATCCTAATTGAATCTTATCCTTTAACAAGCATAATTAATACTTTTATATTGATTATTATAATTTATATACTTTGTAGTCTGTCATCGTATGTTATGCTGTTTCATGTTTCCTGGGTCTTTACCCTTTTCCTCTGATTTTTGCAATGTGGACTTGGCTTTGTTTTACAGTTGCCTCAGATACTGACTTACAAAGCTTATGCTTACAAACTATTCCAAAAGAAAAATGTCATTTCCTGAGATTAATTGGCTGCATGATATTTGTTTTTGGAAATTACTTGTTTGCAAAGCCACTGGTCTATTCCAGGGGACTGCCACTCTTTAGAACAGTGGTGTTTTCTTTATATTCCACTTGTGTTGGACTTGTCTTTCTCTCGTTAACATTTGTCAATTCTTTCCAATATGCTGAGGAAGATGAAAGAGAAAAATAATGTGCACTGACAGTTGAGTGTCTGCAGTATAGTCCTTATTTACAAAGAGTATTTTGTTTAATCTTAATCATCCTGTGAGGCAAGTACATTGTCATTTTACAGGTGAGGTAACTAAAGATAAAAGGCATGCTCGGTCCATTTAATGTCCTTAGTAAATAATAGAGTCAGAAATTCAAACTCAAGGTTGTTCTTTGACAAACACTTATTTAGTGCTTACTCTATAGAAATTGTCGTACCCTTTAGGATACATAGGGGAATAAACTACACGAAAATCCCTGCCCTCATGGAGCTGAGACTCTAGTGAGTAGAGAGAGACACTAAACAAGAGAGGAGGTAAACACATTGGGAAAGAAAGTGACAAGCCCTGTGTAAAAAGTAAATTTGAGCAGAGTAAAGGAAATCCAGAAAGGGTGACAGGTTTCAGTTTTAAATTGGGAGGTCAGAGCAGGCTTCCTTGGAAAGAGATCTGACTCTGTGGCTTATTTTCTTTGTACCACACTATACTGCTGCTGCTGCTGTGTTAAAATTCATTATTATTGGATTACCTGCTCCTTACCAAATTAGGGGCCAAAGGCTTTCTGAGTTTCTTATTACTGTGAATGTAAATCTTCTTTCCTCCATAAAGAAAGAGAGCAAGGATTTTTTTTTTGTTGTTCTGTTTTGTTTTGCTATAAGATTTTTCCAAGCCTAACCTCATTTAAAACTCCAGCTTTCTTTACAGTATTTTTTACAAGCAATTTCCTCTCTCATTATATTTTTCATGGTGTTTTACTTATTTAACATGTCTTATTTCACAACAGATATGCTTTTGAAGAGTTTCATGTCAGTGGAATTTTTGTGAATACCATCAAATTTTAAATTCCATTTTACTTTTTTGTAACTTGGATAATTGTGCCTTGCATTTTCTGTGTTAATATTTTTAGTTACAGGGCTGTTTCATGCATGTTGAGCCAGGTGGGTATGTGGCAGAGCTTATATAAAATAAACTTGTTACCTTCCTTAGTTACACAAAATGTATATTAGAAATAATAAATGAAATAGCAAGCAATAAATTTCTGCTTATGATACTTAAAACAACATTAGCTTTTTATTTTACAAATGGTAATAAACTGAGGGGATCACCAGTGAGAAATGTCTTATGCCCTTTAGGTTATTGAGAGAGATGCCATCTAGACCATAAAGCGTTTTGCTTCAATAGTTTACAAAATGGCAAATACATTCCATTAGGATAAGAAAGGTATTGTTGCCCCAGGGAGTTGTTTCTCTGGAGACATTTAAATCCAACAGTTGGGAAAAGGAAAGGGTGATTGAGGTACAAAGGACACTTATTAAATGCAGTAACTCATTGATTTTCTTTGCCCAATAGTGTGGGTGTTAATGTTTGTTTATTCCGTGAGTGATTTTTGTTTTTATGCCTGTTACTACATATTTAATCATAGAAATTTGCATAATATGTATTATAAATGATAAATTGGTGTATCTTCAGGTTTTTCAGTATAATATGGTTGGTCTTTGGGTCTTTTCTAGGTTTGTGACTTGGCTTTTAGCCTGAAGAAAATGCTGATTCGACACAAGATGACTCATAATCCCAATCGTCCACTGGCAGAATGCCAGTTTTGCCATAAGAAGTTTACAAGGAATGACTACCTCAAAGTGCACATGGACAATATCCATAGTGTAGCTGACAGCTAATGGGGGCTGTAAAGGAATTAAACTATTCAGAAAGGCTCCTAATATGAATCCCAGATTTTTCTCACCTGATCAGCATAACAGAAGTAGCCAAAAGTAACTTACTGGTCTCATAGTTCTTATTTGCCTACATTTAGAGTCTGTGATGCATATGCAACCAAAAAGAGTCTTATTCTTACTGAATGGTATAAATGGGGAAAAAAAATACAAGTTCGTAGCCTTGCAAAATGCAACTTGTGCTCTCTCTCATAAAAATGGAGAAAGGAGTCATGGCTCTCTTTCTTGGCCATCTCTCTGTAATGAAGTTTATTAATATACTTTCCTAATAGGCCTCTTTACTTTATTGTTATTCTTTGTGTGTATGTGTGTCTGTATGTGTCTATGTGTGTGTGCACTCACTTGCAAATACTGGTTGTTGCAGCTGGTTTTACCAATTTAAATAGAAATAAATCAAGATATCCAACTATTTCTTTGCAGATAAGGGTAAGAATAAGAGTTATCAAAGTCTCAAGTGTAATAGGAAAATAAATACTTGCTATTTTATAAAACAAATCAAGAATTGATCTTATCTACTAAATATGCAACAAATGAGTTTAAAAATAAAGAGATATTTGATAACTAAAACATCTATCAAAATATTGCTCATTTTAGAGAATTCTTAGGAAGCATTATTTACTCATTCAGATGCAGACATTCATGGTCTGGGATACTTTTATAAATTCTACACAAAAAATGATTGTCACATTTAAACATTCATCAGGCTACCCCTCTTGAATTTAGACCATTTTGCTTTAGAAATTAACAGTATACCAATATATGTAATTAAAAATAGAAACCAAATAGATTCTCCATATTTGGTGACAGAGGGCAGAACAATAGTGACATTTCCACATTATTTATGATCAATATAGCCCTTTCCCCTGTCCTTCCATAAAAGTGCACAGAACATGTTAGTGCAGATACAGTCCTTAGAGCATTAACATTCCATTTTGCAAAAGACATTTTCCAGAATTTTGGCAGTAGGTAATTCTGAAACACTTTTGAATTACCTTCAATCATCCCTCATAATTAGGAATCCAGAATACAAAGTACAAACCTGGCAATTGTTATGATTGAAACTGTCACTAATGCTTAAGGGAAATTGAAGCAAGAAACAACATTTCTTCCTTTAGGTTATATTTCAGCAAAATACTTAACAGTAACATACAATGAACAGCTTGTTTAGAGAGATGATATGATACAATATAATAGTGATGTCAAAATAACCTAGAGGAATCCAAAAAACCAGAAAAACATTAAAATGAAGCCCAACTCATGAACTTCTTTAACTGGAACCCACTCAAAAGCGAGGAAGTATAGTTTTTTGTCTGTTTCTTTTTCTTTTTGAGACAAAGTCTCTCTCTGTTGCCCAGGCTGGAGTGCAATGGCATGATCTCAGATCACTACAACCTCCACCTCCCAGGTTCAAGTGATTCTCCTGCCTCAGCCTTCTGAATAGCTGGGATTACAGGCACACACCACCACACCCAGCTAATTTTTTATATTTTTAGTAGAGACAGGGTTTTGCCAATTGGTCAGGCTGGTCTCAAACTCCTGACTTTGTGATCCACCCACCTTGGCCTCCCAAAGTGGCGTGAGCCCCACCTCACATGCTGGTAGTGTGAGTCACTGCACCCTGCTGGAAGTATAGTTTAAGGAAGTTATTTGGTTCTAATGAGTTAAGAAGAAGGGTTATCTGAGATGCAGTTCTTTGACTTCAGGAATCTCATTTTAGAATTCTATTCATGCCCAATTCCAGTTTTAAAAAGAAAGATTCAATATATACATTTGAATGTAAAATACTAAATTTGAAACTCAGAGATAACTTTTAAAAAATATAAATCCTAAAATTATAATTTAGAAGATATTTAAATATAGTTATATGTAGTATTTTATATCTGAAATTATAGACTATTTTATAAAAATAAATTTTGGTCTTATTTCTCACTATGTCATTTGTTGCAACAACATATTTTTAGATCTAAAGTGTTTTCCATTTAATATTGTAGTGTGTTTAATATCATTTGAATATAAAAAGACATCTGTAAAATTTGGTAGTGTGTATTATTTAAACACATCCTGTATATTCCTTTGAATGCTGCTTTCTCTACATAGGATGCTTTATATCCCAATTATTTGATGAATGTAAAACTTGAAAGGAGTTCAAATACCAATTTTGTGTAATCAACAATGAGTCACAATTCACACAGCTGCTGGGGAAATTACCCTGAAAACTGGTGTTGCTATACCATGGAGTAAACGGATAGGGAAGAGGTGCTGGGCCTTATCCTGCTGAAAGTTTATAGGCAAGGAAATACTTAGAAAATAGTGTAGAAGGACCTACAACAAAGAGTGGTACACCACTCTCTCCTTTCAGAGGACTGAAACAAAAACAAGTCCTTAGAAGACTATTTGTATGCTGTAAATTGTTTATCCAAAAGACAAGTATTTACAGATAGTTTCAGATATATTAGCATTTGCTTGCTAAAACTTTTTCTTTTCCAAGTCCTGAACGAATAAAACTTTTAAATTACTTAGTAATAACCAAAAAAGAGAATATTTTAGGCATGATTATTAAAAGCATAGATAGTCAAAGAGGAAAAGTCTTACAGGCAAGCTGAAGTTCAGGTACCTACTTCAAAGTGTCGTTTGTTTTCTGCTGTGAAGGATTTTGACTGGGAAAAGACCCGACTCTTGGGTGCCTCTAAAGTCTAAGTAATAGAGTCCTAGAAACTGGCTAAGTTATTTTAAGAGATAGTCAATAATGTGGGTGGTTTCAGATACCCTTTGTAATCACTGTCTTTGTATATTAACACTTAAGATGTTTGTGTATTTTTAATTTGTCTTTGTTTCACAATAACTGGCTTTTATTTTCCTTTTCATGGTGTTTGTTGCCTACATAAAAGCATTTATTAGTTAATCATGATCAGCAGTTGCAGCATAAAAGTCTTCATTGGTAATATATTCTTGGGGTTACATAGTATAGTTAACATGTTATTTCAAGAAACATGAGTGTGTGTGCGTGTGTGTCTAAGAGTATCACTTAGATGCAGTACTTACACATGCAAGTGCATTACTCTGCTCAAAGATCTTCTGACCTATCGCAGTCAACTCGTGCATGAGTATGAACATGTATTATATGGAAGGTCTTACAGCTTTAGTTTCTGTTTTAGATTTTATATGCTGCTTCCTTTCTCAAACAAAAGCTGGAAAAGAAAAAGGATAGGTACTAGAAATATTCATTTTTTTTCTCTTCACAAATCTAAATGTTGCTTATGAAAACTCATCTTAAGAGTCATGAATACATGGAGGTGGGTAGATAGGAAATGTGCCTCTTTAAACCCCTAAAATTTTACCACTAATATTGACATTTGTTTGCATGTATATAAATGGAGCATGTGTAAATACAGAATTCCAATCGCATTTTTTATTATAAATCTATAATAAATCTATATAAATCACTACCAGGCTTGGTGTTAGCATTTTATTTTAGTATAGAACTATAACTAGTACCGTTCTATGGTAAAGTCCAAATGAATGCTTTAAAGTTGTTTTTGATGAATGAAAGAAATGTAATTACCATTACCTGCAGACCTCATGCTTTTATGCTTTATACATCTAAGTTTTCTCAATCTGCAAAGTATCTCTGAAGTTGAGCCAAGTCAGTCTTAGGGCTATGGGAGACAAACTTTTCCTTGCCTCTCTTCTCATTGCTGGCTATTCAGAGAACAATGTGAAAAGGAACATCACTATAAGAATGAATGAAACCTGATATAGTGCATCTTAAGTAAAAATAACCTGATGCTCATAAATAGAATTTAATGGTAATAAAAGTATGGCAAATATTTCAGGTATTCCTTTTCTTAAAGTGATTTTTATCATTTTTACATTGCCCAATCTTGTGAGATATTCTTGATACAAAAAAAAAAAAATCATGTGAGTAGTGGATTTAGAAATTATACATTCATTTAACTTTGAAGCTGAGACACTAGTTCTTTGGAGCTGACTCATAGCCTTAGATATCTTGGGCTCAAAACTATATTATCACCCCACTCATAGTTAATTTGTTGTATGACAGAATAAAATATTAACTCTGGAGCCTTCAGTGTGGGCATGTCAAAATATTCTACATATTCTAGGCCCAGGAAATAGTCTGGAAGGTAACAGCTATCTTACATACTAGAATGGTGCTGCTGATCCACTGTCCAAATTCCTTACCTTCCATTTTTAAAAAAATTCTTAATACTGAAACAAATGTTCATATTTAGTTAGAAAATATATAGTACTGAGTTTCCTGAAATCAAAAAATATATCTAGTTATCTAAATATTTGATTCACATATTTAGCTTCCTAATCATGCAGACTTTTAGCCAATTAGAATAAAGTCTTAGTCCTTGAGCCCATGCCACCTTATAGCATATTACATGGTAGGAGGATGCTGTTAAATTATGTCAATAATGCATATGTTTTAAATTAAGGAAGGATATTGGACAACTGAAGCTCGATCATCTAAATTAATGCAAAACAGTTCAAACAAAATATCACCACTACTGACAAGGGAAACTATAGACTTACTAGGAATTAGTTACACTTAAAAAATGCAAAAAATATCAGTTTGTCTCTCCAAAATAGTATAAAAAGGAAAAGAATTCCAGCTCACGGTGGATACGTGAATCACTCCATTACTATTTTTTGATTTTGTCTTCTTACAGACCATCTGATAATACTTTTTAATTTTATCTGGTATCTTTTTCTTCAGTTTTTGACTGGCATATCTCTTTTCATTCTACTGAAATCTTTTCTGTGATTATATGAAAATTTTACATTGTTTTTTAAGAAACAGCTATTAAAATTTCTCAGTTTTCATTTTGTCTGACAACATTGAACTGAGTGCTTTTCAGTCTGCAATAATGGCTTTGTCCTGTCTTTCTAACAGTCTCATCGAGCCTCATTTGGATGGTGGGCTGAGCTTGTATTGCAGAGTACTCAAGAAAATCTGGTGCTTCATACCTAGCAGATGAAGTTCATCACCAGTGTGTAAATCTAATGAAAGCCTGGCATTGTGGACATAGGCCAGGACCCTCTGCATTGTCCTAGCTGCTTATGTAAAACTGAAAGCAAAAGAGTCTTTTAAAAAGTATGCCAGGGGCTTTCTTACCATGGACACATGTATTACTATTGAAAGCTGAACGAATGAATCCATTACTGGAATTAGTTGTTAAAACAATGTATTATCTATTAATTCCTTAATGTTTGTTAAAGCAACATAAAAATATCAAGTACATTGACCCCCAACTCTATACTTTTTATTTTCTAAGGTAAATGTTACCATCTGAAAAACCAAAATTGCCTTTAATGGACAAAGAAGGTCAGAAAGTAAATGTTAATGACATGGAAGCAAACCACATAGTTCCTATTCTGTGTAGGCATGTAAAGAGTATGGAGATGAGAAGCAATGACACATTTAATTGATTATAACACTTTTATTTAAATTGGCAAACTGATGAGTTCTTTTGTGGATTGCTACATGTAGTAATTAAGAATTTTGAGGCTGGGTACAGTTGTTCATTCCTGTAATCCCAGCAGTTTGGGAGGCCCAGGCAGGCAGATGACTTGAGCCCAGGAGTTTGACACCAGCCTGAGGAACATGGCAAAACCGCACCTCTGCCAAAAATTAGGTGGCATATACATATAATCTCACCTAGTCGGGAGGCTGAGGCAGGAAGATTGCTTGAACCCAGGAGGCGGAAGTAGCAGTGAGCTGAGATCATGCCACTGCACTACAGCCTAGGCGACAGAGCAAGACCCTGTCTCAAAAAAGTTTTTGAAAAATCTGACCTTGTAGAAATTGGACAAGTTAAATCTACTTTTAACTTGTCTAGTTTCATTACTGAAATTTAGGAAATCTTCCCCAGACCTTCTAATCAAAAGGCTCACTACGTAAGTTAAATAACTGTTTGCAGCTCCTCTTCTATCTGACAAATACAGTACATAGCTTTCTCCAGAAAAAAAAAAAAAGAATATAAAGAAGGGTCAAGTACAACTTTTATCACTTTCATTCTTTCCTTCTCTTCTCGAATAAAATCCATGTCTTGTGCTGTGTCAGCTGCAGTATAACTCTGGTGTAGTCTCCAGTTCTACTCTTTTACGAGTGACAAGTCAGTTCATTCCAGGACTCAAATTATGATACTTAGGATATTAAGTGGTTTCCTTTCTGCTATGACTAAAATATGAAATTAGGGTGGATAGATTTAGCTGTTTAGGATACTATTAGATTAAGTATGTGAGTTGAGCGAATTGGCTTTATCCTGATAAAGACTATTCCAAGTTTTCTAAGCTACAGATCTGACCCTAGTTGCATCAGTGCAGTAAAGGGCATATGACTTGTTGCTTACCACAGATCTAGAGAGAGGAAGTGTATGGATGGCACAGAATCACTAGAATGAAACAAGGAATACAAAATGTGTGTCATATAAGCCAAAACAATCCTGAAACAGAACAAAGCTGGAAGTTTCACACTTCCTGATTTCAACGTATATTACAAAATTATTGTCATCAAAACACTATGTTACTGGCATAAAAACAGAAACATAGAGGCCAATGGAACAGAATAGAGAGCATAGAAGTAACCCTTCATGTAGATGGCTAAATGACCTTCAACAAGATGGCTAAGACTATACAGTGGGGAAAGATAGTCTCTTCAATAAATGATATCAGGAAAATTAGATATACACATGTAAAAAGAAGTTGGAGCCTTACATCATATAAAAAAATTAACTAAAAATGGATTGAAGACCCAAGTTTAAAACCCAAAGCTGTAAAACTAGAAAGACACATGGGGAAAATTCTTTATGACATTTTATCTGGCAATGATTTCTTGTATATGACACCAGAAGCACAGACAACAAAAGCAAAAATAGACAAATGGAACTACATCAAACTTAAAAATTTCTGCACAGCAAACGAAATAATCAGAGTGAGAAGCAACCTATGGAATAGGAGAAAGCATTTGCAAACCATGTATCTGTTAACAAGTTAATATCCAAAATAGATTAAGAACTACTAGAACTCAACAACAGTAAAAAACAATCAATTGAAAAATGGGCAAAGAACTAGAGTAGACATTTATCCAAAGAAGATAAATGGCCAAAGAGCATTCAAAAAGATGTTCAACATTACTAGTCATCAGTGAAATGCAAATCAAAACCACTATGAAGCCTCACATCAGTTAGAATGGCCACTATCAAAAAAATAAAATCAAACATAAGCATTGGTGAGTATATGGAGAAACTGGAACCATTGTGCACTGTAGGTGGAGCTGTAAAATGATACAGCCACTATGGGAAACAACAGGACGTTTCTAAAATAAAAATAAAATTACCATGTGATCCAGAAAACCCACTTCTTGTTACTTTTCTGCCTTGGCCCATTTTGTGCTGCTATATAATCTAAGACTTGGTAATTTACAATGAACAAAAATGCATTGCTCACAGTTCTGGAGGCTGGAAAATCCAAGACCAAAGTGCCAGCATTACCAAGGATGTTATTGCGGTGTCATCCCACAGCAGAAGGTGAAAGAGAGGGCAAAAGAGAAAAGGGATTGAACCCATCCTTTTTTTTTTTAAGACGGAGTTTCGCTCTTGTTACCCAGGTTGGAGTGCAATGGCGCGATCTCGGCTCACTGCAACCTCCGCCTCCTGGGTTCAGGCAATTCTCCTGCCTCAGCCTCCCGAGTAGCTGGGATTACAGGCACGCACCACCATGCCCAGCTAATTTTTTGTATTTTTCATAGAGACGGGGTTTCACCATGTTGACCAGGATGGTCTCAATCTCTTGACCTCATGATCCACCTGCCTCGGCCTCCCAAAGTGCTGGGATTACAGGCTTGAGCCACCGCGCCCGGCCTGAACCCATCCTTTTATAAGGAACCCATTCTCACAATAGTGGCATTAATTCACGCATAAGGGGAGGCTCCTCCTGGCCTAATCACCTTCTAAAGGTCCTATGTCTTAATACTGTTACAATGGCAACTAAATTTCAATTTCAACATGAATTTGAGAGGAGACAAAGATTCAAACCATAGTATCATCCCAAAGAATTGAGAACAGGATCTCAAAGAGATACTTGAACACTTATTTCTTGTAGCATTGTTCACAATACCAAGAGGTAGGAGTAGCCAAAATGTGAATCAATGGATGAACGGATAAAGAAAATTTCATGTACACCTACAATGGAATAATATTTAGCATTAAAAAAGAAATTATTTCATATGCTACAACGTGGAACCTTGATGACATTATGCTAAGTGAAATAAGCCAGTCAGAAAAAGACAAAAACTGCATCATTTCACTTAAATGAGGTATTTAAAGTAGTCAAACTGACCGAGACAAAAAATAGAATGCAGCTACGAGGGAAGGAAAGGAAGGGAAAATAAGAGTTGTTAAATGGGTATAGGGTTTCAGTTTGG